TATATATAGAGAGAGAGAGAGAGAGAGAGAGAGAGAGAGAGAAATACCATACAAGTTGAGTAAAACTTTTTTTTTTTAAATTATGGAACAACTTGTTAGCACTACCCATTGTTATATATTTTTATTTATGATTACACCGTAGAAGAAAACGTTTCACCATCGAATCTATTACAAATGTGATGGAAAATATAGTTATAAAATTTAAATTTGAACCGGTTTTGACTGAAATTTTTTATGGCTAAATATTTAATTCGGGTTAAATTAAATTGTGTAAACAAATTCTACGTTCCGAATAGAGACTCGTGATATATTTATTTTCACAAAATTGATTTTCGATAAGTAAGAAATAAATTATTAAAGTTAGTCATTAAAGTTTCTAGTAATTAACAACAAATATATTGCAGACAAGAGGATTCCAACCCGAATATGCAATAATGAGTTTTGTAACACCCCGGGTTTTATTAATAAAGGAAAATACTAGCTTTTAATTTTAAGCTAGCCTTGGTTAATAAATAATCATATTCATGTTTAAGTTCAAGTTAATCAGCTAGTTATGTTCCAAGTTCGACTATTAGTCGATATATTATTCGGTTTAATTATTTCAGTAACCGGATAAGTTTCCAGATTTAATTCTGATTCGTTCTTTTATTAATGAGTTCGGAATTAATAAGTTAAGTTGACGAATTATTCGAAATATCAATATTCGGATTAATCGTCCAAGTCAGGAATATCCGAAATTATTTTCGAAGTCACGTTTACGTTTGGAATAATTTCGAATATTAAGTATCATGCTTAGGAATTAAGTAAGCATATAAATTATACTTAATTAATAATTAATTAAGATTATCAAGTTCAAATATTTGAATGCCGTACGCATTTTTGAAGTAATTCACTTAAGTTCTCTAAATTGTCGTATGTATCTTAGTTTTATAATCATTTGGGATGTTTATGAATTAGTAGCTTGAGGTGGCAAATGCTCCTTTACTTAAAGGATGAGTAATCTCTTTAACTCATGACTTAGCACCTTAAAAACTTCCACTTATTACAAGTGGCATAAGCTTAGTAAGCCATCAAATTCTCCCCACCTCTTCACTTTAGCTTTCGGCCCTATATATATCATTAGTTGGGGAGAAAATTTGCTCCTCCACATCCTAATTATACACTAAGTATAGGGAGTAGGGCTTTTCTACAGTCAGGTACCCTTGTACTTTGGCTTGTACTTACCTAACAACAGGTACCTTTTAAATGAACGCCATGTGTCCTTTTCTTAATAAATAAAAAAATAAATCGAAAAAAAGCTTAATGCAAATACGAAAATGCCCTTACTTAAAAAAAAAAAACAAATTTACTTAAAAGGTGTTGAACTTTTGTAATATTAACATATGACCTAAACATAATTATATATCTCAAATAAACAAACAATTAATCTAATATTTCATTTCGAACGATCTTCTGCAAACAAGAAAACACTCACGAAGATATGATCGGAAAAAAGACGTTCTAAGATTTGACATTTGAAGAATAACACGAAGGTACATAATTACATTTTCTGATTCGATATTTGAAGAACAACAGTATGTGAATTTTGTTTTCTTTTTTTTCTTCTTTATTTCGATTACTGTCCAATCATGCGGTAATGCACATCCATGATTTCGCTGTGCATCCGTGAGTTATAAGACATAGATACGAATAATGTAGTAATGTGAATTTGTATTTGCTAATATTGATAATTCATTATTATTATGCGTCTCATAAAGAAGCACAATAGATGTTTGACGAAATGTCTGAAGGGACTATGCAGTCGCAAAAGGTTAATCTATCATGAGGATGCTCGTCAATTCAGCGAACGTAATGGATTGATGGAAGGTTGTTCGTTTTCATTTGTGCTTCAAGGAGGATATCAGCTGGTGTTTAGGATTATTATGTAGTTGCTGTGACCGGTATAAACTATTCTATTTTGTCTTTCTAAATTAATAAATGATGCTGTAATTTTATTTGGTGTGTGTTCTGGATAGTGATATGTTTATTATATCCCATAGAAACTTTTGAATTATGTTGCATATTCCATTGAACATGTTAAATTTTTAGATTAACATGTCACATAGTAAGATGAATTTTTTCTATAATAAGCTGAACATGTTGCATATA